GACAATCGCATTCGATTAATCGTGCAGCCCAAGTCTTACTGATCCCAAACTTTTGAGCGGTAAGTCAAGTCAAGTCACCTTTATTTATATAGCGCTTTTAACAATACAGATTGTGTCAAAGCAACTGAACAGCATTAATTAGGAAAATAGTGTCAATAATGCAAAATGACAATAGTAAACACAAATTTTTCAGTTAAAGACAGTTCATCATTGAATTCAGTGATGTAATCATCCAGCTCAGTTTAAATACTATCTTTGCGGTAGTGGTAGTGTAGGTTAAATGCCTAACTGGTAGCCGTGTCACCAAACTGAGTTGATTCCCTCTTGACTGAGTGTTGAATCAGTGTTAATATCCACACAGCTGTCCTCCTCCAGTATCCCATGAGTTCATTCACAGCTCTTCTCTCTTGTGCTCTTGTGTTTGTAACTGCTGTGCTTTAACCAGATTACATTCTAAAACTGTGTTTTGTTTTTACCATAGGTGCAGAATGAACTTGCTGCTGCTCTCGCAAGAAAAGCCAAGAAGTCGAGTAAGATGCTTTTATATTTATTGGAGTCATATTAAACTATTTTTGACCACTTAGTCAAGTTTTTTGCAAATATTTTCTCCAGTGTCAGAAGATGAAAGTTCAGAGGCATCAGACGTTTCTCCACAAGAACCACCGAAGCCCACTGAAGACAAAAGCAAGGTAAACACTCACTCACACACTCACTCACTCACTCACACACACACACACACACACACACACTCACTCATTCTCTCACACACACACACACACACACACACACTCACAATCTGACTTCTTCTTTAAGCTGCGCTCCATATATTAATTCCTCCTTAAAATATTTTTCCCCTACAGAAATAAGTATTATTTTAAAAAATGCATTTAAAATGATGATAAAATTAACCTTATAAAGCTGATTTATTTATTTTTGTTTATTTCTTTGTTTTATATATTTATTTTACCTTTATTTTAAAGATTTATTTTGTCAATTTCAGTGTAGTCCAAAATAAATCTTTAAAATACATTTATAAAAGTTTATTTATTTATTTGTTTGTTCGTTTTAAAGGTTTATTTGGGCAATTTTGCCTTTATTTATCTAAAATAATTTTAGCCCAAAATAAATGTTTAAAATAAATAAATATATATATATATTTATTTATATGCTTGTTTGTTTTATTTTAAAGATTTTTTTGTCATATAGCCAAAACAAATCTTTAAAATAAATGTTTTCAAAAAATATTCAGATAAAATATATTTAGCCCAAAATAAATCTTTAAAATAAACAAATTAATAGATTTATTAATTCATTCATTTATTCAAAAGATTTATTTTGGCCTTTGTTTGGATCAGAATTTAGCCCAAAATAGATCTTTAAAATCATTTAAAAAAATTTACTTATTTATTTCAAAGGTTTATTTTGGCCATTTTGCCTTTATTTAAATAAAACTAATTTAGCTCAAAATAAAACTTTAAAATCAATGTGTTTGTTTAACAAATACATTTGTTTATTTATTTTAAAGATTTATTTTGACCTTTATTTAGATAAAATAAACTTTTAAATAAATAAATCCGCTATATTAGGTTACTTTTATCATCACTTTAAATATATTTTTCTTTAGCTTTTAGTCTTCTTATATTGTTACTTTAAACATATATATCATTGTCATTATTAGGATTCTGTTCGATGCGCTAATGATGCAGAAATTGTCCTCAGCAGCTTTAACTACAGTGTTTTTACCGTGCACCACCAATCGTTTCACTTCCGTAAAGTCTTGGTTATATTCTGACATTTTTGCATTTTAGAATTAAAAGAACGACGATAAGGTGACTGTGAATTACATTTGTTTGTTTGGTTACTGTTATTCAGCATGCTTCAGTTTAACATGCTAGCATATACAGTGCTGCAGGCAGTAAGCAAGCCAACATACATGATACAGCGCGCCGAAATTCAGCAGGCAGATCAATGCACAGCAATGTTAATAATGTAATACATTTTCTCATTAAAAAATACATAAGGGAAATTGTGCAGTCAGACGGTCATTATCGCAAAATAAACCCTGACGTGAAGTGTCTACTTGGCAAATGAATGGACATGAAATATTGATCTTGACTTTAATTTGACATGTTTTAATTTTAATCAGCATATTAGAATGATTTCTGAAGATCGTGTGACACTGAAGACTGGAGTAATGATGCTGAAAATTCAGCTGCACATCACAGAAATACATTACATTTTACAATATATTCAGGTAGAAAATAGCTATTCTGAATCGTAATAATATTTCCTAATTTTACTGTTTTTACTATATTTTTAATCAAATAACTGCAGCCTTGGTGAGCAGAAGAGTCTTCTTTCAAAAACGTATTCTCGGTGATTCACAGAGAGCGAGAACATCTTAATTCACTGTGAACTTGCTTTTCATGAGGTGACATGCTTGTGTAGACGTTTGCCAGCGTATTTGAAAGAACACGAGGTTACATGTGCAGTCATGTTTATAGCATAAATCGTGTGTGTGTGTGTGTGTGTGTGTGTGAGTGTTAGAGAGGGGCTTCCTCTGGATCTGAATGATTGATGGTCTGATCTCAGAGGCAACACAGACCCAGAATAACACACTAATGGTCTTGTGTAGCTGTTGTTGTCCAGCAGGAAGTTTGCATCACCATATCAAGCTAATGAAGTTCACAGGGACTCACTGTGTGTGTGTGTGTGTGTGTGTGTGTGTGTGTGTGTGTGTGTGTATCTGTGTGAGTGGGTGTGAAGG